AAATATTTGAAATATCAATTAACATTTTGGTAATTGATTATATTTTCATTAATTTGGTAACTGATACTGAGGAATAAATTATTCTTAGTTTAGAGTGGAAGAATATAATATGTGATATATATAATATTTGACAAAATCTCAATTTTACATCTATGAATGAAGAGATCTGATTTAGGGAAAAAAGAGAGAAATGAGCTAGATGATCTTATTCATTGATCATGCGTTATGAACATGTGCATTGTATATATATAGCTCAGATAATTTCCTAACTACCTATACAACCAATAAAAAATGTACACCTGTCATTCCTAACAGAATTAGTTATACTTAACTAACTAATGAAGCTGAAAACTAATTAGTGAAATCAAGTTACACCTCCGTCCTTACTATCTTCAATACTCCTCCTCAAGCTAGGTGTGGTGAAAACATTCAAAACACCTAGTTTGGATAGTAAAAAATCATGTTGTCACTTCCCTAAAGCCTTTGTTAGTATGTTTGCCTGTTGGTCTCTTGTGGGAATATAGACAGTGCTAATCAACCCTTGTTGAATCTTCTCTCTAATGAAATGGCAATCAATTTCAATGTGCTTAGTTCGTTCATGGAACACATGATTTGCAGCAATCTGAATGGCTGCCTTATTATCACAAACATTGATGCCTAACTCCTTAAACAAGTTTGTCACCCACACAATCTCAGCTATTAAACAAGCTAGGCTCATATATTCTGCTTCTACAGAACTCCTTGAGATTGTAGCTTGTTTCTTGGACTTCCAAGAGATGAGAGAATCTCCCAATTTCAACAAGTATGTTGTTACTGATCTACTTGTATTTGTGAATGCTGCCCAATCTGAATCACAAAACCCAATCAACTTCATGTTCTTCTGTGAAGACATCAATAATCCCAAGCCTAGTTGATTTTTGAGGTATCTAAGGACTCTGAGAGCCGCCTGTCAGTGTTGAACTTTTGGCCTTTGTAGAAACTGACTCAAAGTCTGCATTGTATATGCAATATCAGGTCTAGTGTTTGCCAAGTATAGTAGCTTCCCAATCATCCTTTGATATTGGGAAACATTATGATACAACTTCTCCTCACCGCATATTCCTTCAGAAGCTGTAGTGAGTTTCATGTTGCATTCTAGTGGAGTAATTGCTGGCTTTCCTGCAGTGATGCCAGCTTCAACTAGAAGTTCTAGGGTATACTTCCTTTGGTTCATTAGAATTCCCCTTTTTGACCTGCTAAATTCTATCCCCAAGAAGAATTTCAACTCTCCCAAATCCTTGATTTTAAACCATTTATGCAGGACATCCTTAGTGGCCTGAATAAGAGCAACATTGTTCCCACTGATAAGAAGGTCATCAACATAGACCAATATAATGACTAAACTGGCACCCTCGCCTTTTTGTGAACAAAGAATAATCCAAATGACTTTGATTGTATCTAGACTTCAACAAGGCTTCAGTAAGCTTAGAATTCCACTATCAGGAAGTTTATTTTAGTCCATAAAGAAACTTTACAAGCTTACATACCATAGGTGTAGTTCCTGCTACCTGCAAACCATTAGGCAGTTCCATTAATACTTCCTCTATAAGGTCTCCTTGTAAGAAAGCATTATAGACATCCATTTGATATATACACCAATTCTCTGCAGCAGCTAACGCAATGACAGTTCTGACTACCATCTTAACTACTGGAGAGAATGTCTCCTGATAGTTTATCCCAACAGTTTGATTATACCTTTTAGTCACTAGTCTAGCTTTGTATCTTTCAATTGTGCCATCAACCTTATGTTTGATCTTTAAAATACATTTGCATCCTATCACAAACTTCCCTTGTGGACAAGGTACCAGGTTCCAAGTACCATTTTCCTTGAGAGCCTGAAATTCTTGCTGCATTGGATCTTTCCACTTATCATCTAGTAGTGCCTCTTCATAGGACTTAGGTTCAGTGACAACTGAGAAATGACTTAAACAAGCTTTGTATGTAGGAGATATAGTCTGGTAAGACACATAGTTGGACAATGAGTGAGGGATATGACCCTTTTTTGTAGTAACATAATCATGATGTCAGGCTGGTTTGATAACTATTCTGCTAGACCTCCTTGAACCAGAAAGCAGGACTATGTGTTCATTAGTATTAATATCAGTATCTATTGACGTTGGCACATCAGGGACAATATCTACTTTTGGAAGTGAAGCTTCTTCAGGTTCATGAACCTCTATGGGTGTTTGAGCTAAATCTAGCTCTGATGACTGAGTGAGGTTTGGAAACAAGGGAACTGAACCATCATGTTATTTAAAAGGACATACTGATTCCTTGAATACTACATCTCTACTAACCAGAAATCTCTTGTCAGTAATATCAGAAAGGATATAACCCTTGAGTAAGAGAATAGCCCATCAGCACACAAACATTTGCTCTAGGTGAAAACTTATCTTTTCTGATAAGTGTGGTTGCAAAACATAAACATCCAATAGCCCTGAGATGATCTAGTTAAGGCTTTCTTTTGTAAGAAACTTCATAGGATCACTGGCCTTTCAATGTGGGAGTAGGCAGTCTACTAAATAAGTAAACAGCTGATATGACACACTCCCCAAAATCTAATGGGTAAACCTCCTTGAAATCTGATTGCCCTTGCAACCTCTAATATATGTCTGTTTCCTTTTCACCACTCCATTTTGTTATGGAGTGTGTGAACAAATGCTTTGATGAATAATGCCTAAAGAAATAAACAGATCTTTACATTCAGTGTTAAAGAACTCACCACCATTATCTGACCTGAGAATTGTGACAACATCAGACTTTAGTCTAAGAAAATATAACCATGTAATTCTGGAACAATCATCAACCAAATTGAGGAAATATCTTAAACCAGCATGAGTTTGAACTCTGAATGGTCCCCAAACATCAATATGTATCAAGTCGAATATAGAGGTACATCTAGTAAGTGACAAAGGAAAAGGCAACCTTGTTTGTTTTGCTAAAGGACATACAAAACAGTCAAGGTAATTATTTGCAGTTGGAACTAATTTCTTGAAGACAGTAGAAGAAGGGTGACCAAGTCTTCTGTGACATAACATACTATCTGTAACGAACCATGTGGTCGTTTTGAGTACTAGAACTTTTTATTTCATAAAAAATTCTTTCGATAAATTTCAAATGGGTATTTTGGACTATTCATAACTATAGTTATATGATTAATGGGGTAATTTTATAATAAACTTAGTTTGTGGTTAAAGAAAAGAGCATTAAAATTAGTAGAGGACCACTTTCACAATTTTCTTTTTAATTAGTCATATATAATAATTAGGGTAGTAAATAATTTGGAGAAGAAAAGAAAAATAGAAAAAAGTCGCACATTGTCAAAGCAAATTCCAGAAGCGATTTCAGGTGACCTTTGACTTTAACCTTTCGTAGTTGTATTAATGGTATGCTTATGCTTTATTGATTAATGTAATGGTGGGTGCTATTGGAACTTATTATGTGTGTGTCCTCTTATGTATTGCAATTCAATTGGGTTCTGTAGAAATTTTTGTCAACAAAACATATGTATATAATATTCATTAAAGGCTATTGAATTGAGTTATGGTGGGTTGAGGAGTTAAAATATTATTATAATGTAAATTAATTAGGAAGAATTGAAGTTACAATTTGTTGCATTATTTCTTTTTCTGTAATTATTTTGACTTCTTGAATTCAAATAAGTAAATAAATATACGTAATTTTAACATAAAAGTTCAGTAGCCTGGTGGTTGATAGTATCATGAATGGCTCCTTAAATTTAGTACTTTTTCTTGTGGATTTTTTTCAATTAAAATTGAATTATTTCCTTAAATTTTAATACATTTTCCTTATGGAATAAGATTTCCTTAAATTTTAATACTTTTCCCTTATGGAATAAGGTTTTCTTTCTCTATAAAATAGGACACTCATTTACCCAAATTATATCACAATATTATTAAGAATAGAATCTCAATAATTTTTCTCTCTGTTTTTTTCTTCTCGTTCTCTTATTTTATAACAAAATAACCAACTTAATATTTTAGTTTCAAGTTTCAATAGACATGACGAATTATTATAATAGAGTACCAAAAAAAGTTCGACTTCTCTAAGTCAACCAAATAAAGAAACAACGGTAGATCAATTAGAGATGTTGTCACATTCTTCTCAAAATCAAAGCATTGATTTAAATACTCTAGAAGTTGATCCAGCAAAAGAACTTCAATTTTAAATCATGATCCAAATCTTCGTGATGAAATAAGAAGGACATATCTTAAACTTGGTCCTTGTCGAATAAGAAGGGCATATCTTAAACTTGGTCCTTGTCAACCAAATATTACAGAATACCCTCAATCATATATTGCTAAAGCAATGCGTCGTTTCAACTCTGATTGGTATAAAGCGTATGATTGGTTAGAGTATAGTGAGAGTGCAGATGCAGCATATTGTTTACCTTGTTATTTATTTAAAGGCAATAATATTCATCAAGGTGGAGGTGAAGTATTTTCAACAACGGGATTTAACAATTGGCATAAAAAGAGTAAGTTTGACGAACATGTTGGTGGACCGAATAGCGTTCATAATCAAGCAAAGAGAAAATGTGATGATCTAATGCAACAACGACAGTCCATTTGTGCTGCATTTGATAGGGAATCTGATCAGATTAAGCTTGAATATTGGACTCGCTTAAATGCTTCAATTGATGTGATAAGACTTCTCTTGAATCAAGGATTACCACTCCGCGGTCATGATGAAAGTGAATCATCATTGAACAACGTAATTTTATTGAAGTTCTTTCCTGGTACAGAGATAGGTGTGAAAACATCAAACCTTTCATGTTAGAAAATGCTCCAAGAAATAATAAATTGACTTCTCCAGATATTCAAAAAGAACTTGTAACTGCATATAAGATAGAAACATTGAAGTCTATAATGGAGGATCTAAATGGTGATTATTTTGCTCTATTAGTTGATGAATCTTTTGATGTGTCACGTAAGGAGTAAATGGCTATTGTTTTACGATATGTTGATAAAAAAGGATTTGTAGTGGAAGCATTTATTGGACTTGTTCATGTTAAAGATACCAGTGCTTTATCTCTAAAGAAAATAATTGTTAATGTGCTTGATAAACATTCATTAAGTTTATTTTATGTACGCGGACAATGTTATGATGGAGCAAGTAATATGCAAGGTGATATCAATGGTCTTAAAATGTTGATTAAGAAAGAAAGTAAATCGGCTCATTCTATTCATTGTTTTGCTCATCAACTTCAACTAACTCTTGTCGCGGTTTCAAAAAAATGCGTTCAAGTGGGAGAACTTGTGTTATTGGTTTCAAATATTTTGAATGTGTTGGGAGCTTCTTTTAAACGAATGGATGAATTACGACAATCTCAAAAAGATAATCTTCAAAATGCATTAGATATGGATGAAATAGAAACAGGTAGAGGTTTGAATCAAGAACTTGGTCTTATTAGAGCCGGTGATACTCGTTGGGATCTCACTACAAAGCATTTCAAAACTTTATACTTTTGTTTGACTCTATTATTGATGTACTTGATACACTTGTTGAAGATGCAAATACTTTAGATGAAAGAGCTAAAGCATCAGGATATCTTAGAAGTTTTCAAACTTATGAGGTTGCTTTCATGTTACATTTGATGAAAGATATTTTGGGAATCACTTATGATCTTAATATATCACTACAGAAAAGGGAACAAGATATTGCAAACGCCATGATACTTGTTGAAGTAGCCAAAAAAAGGCTTCAAAAACTAAGAGATGATGGATGGGAGCCACTTATCAATAAAATATCTATGTTTTGTATCAAACATGACATCTTGATACCCAATTTTGATGAGCCCTATTCTAACTCTGGAAGATCACGGCGTAAAATTGTTGATCATACTGTTTTACATCATTTTCATGTGGAAGTATTTTATAAGATTATTGATTGGCAACTTCAAGAACTTAATGATCGTTTCAATGAGTTGACAAGTGATTTGTTTCATGGAGTAGCTTGCTTGAATCCAGTTAATTCATTTTCTAGTTTTGACATCGAAAAAATAATGAGAAGGACTGAATTATATCCTGATGACTTTGATCAATTTAGTATGGGCGTCCTTCAGAATCAGCTTGCCAATTACATTATCGATGTACGCGATACTGATAAAAGATTCTCTGATTTAGGTGGACTTGGTGAACTTTCAAGAAAATTGGTAGAGACAAAGAAAAACTTAACTTATCCACTTATATTTCGCTTAGTGAAATTTGCTTTGCTTTTGTCAGTTGCTACTGCAACGGTTGAAAGAGCTTTCTCGGCAATGAAGTATATTAAAAATGACTTGCGAAATCGAATGGATGATGAGTTTTTAGACGGTTGTATAGTGCCTTATGTAGAAAAAAAGTATTTCGTACTATTTCTAATGAGTCTATTATAAAAATATTTCAGGATATGAAACCTCGTTGAGTACAATTGTAATAATATATTTAAATTATGTTTTCAATAGTAGTTTATTTTCTTTATGTTAGTTTTGAATTATACACTTGTAATTCTATTAAAAATATTCCTATATTTAATTAAATATTGATTAACTTGATTATTTGTTTTGGTAATTTAAATCGTCGTTCTTTTTAAAAAATTACTATTAAAAGTTTGGACACCCTTCATTAAATTTCTGGCTACGCCATTGGTTGCATAGTGTGGACCGAATAGAATTTCTCTTAGTTTACTGTTAACAAATGTTAAGGGATAATTATGGCATAGTATTGGCCAAGATTGAAAGTTAATGATTATAATATGTTGGTGTAGGAAATTGTTATTATATGTTTATTTGAGAAGAATGGAGGTTACACGGGTTGTATCGTGATTAGCTAATATAGGTTTGGTTGTTTTTGTTATTGTTGATGTTATTAAAAATTGGGTTGAAACGTTGTTAGGCATTTACGTGAGTTTGAGTATTGGCATAATTGTATGACCTCTTAATGGCCAATTAATGATTGGCAGTGAACTAAGTAATTGCAATCATATATTTATATTATATAGATTGAATAGAGCTACACGAAAGTGAAGGTACTGGATGCTGCACATAATTTTAGTATCTCGTTATAAATTAAGTTTTGGTATATGGATATATGTAATAAAATATTAGGTGTATTATATTAGTTGAATACCATTAAAGTTATGTTAATTGGAGGAATTAAGACTTACGCTTAGGCTTGAACTTTAGGAAATTGATTATAGATTGGGTGAGTTTTTGAGTCTAAGCTAGACAAAGAGTAATATGGATGTCTATAGACTCATTTACTTACAAATTATGCATACATGATAGATTGGAAACGTTCCGAGACATTGAGGAAAGGAAAAGCATTGGAGAAGTAGCTTGCTTGAGTTCGATTCTTCGGTGGAGGTAGGTTATGGTTTATTCTATTTAATAGATTTAATAGATAGACTCTAACTAGCGAAGGGAGGTGATCAGCTCAATTGAAAGAGAGGGATACTCGCCTCTTTTCCAAGAAAGCCATGGGAGTCCACGTTTGCGTGGGGCCGGGTACTTCTCCTTTTATCCCTTGCCTTGCTTTTTTGCTCGGCCACTCTCTGTTCTTAAGTAAGGGTTCCCCTCTCTCAAAAAAAAGAATATGCTAATCGTTACCGATACCAGGCAGAGTTGCTTTTCCTTGCTCCAGAGGAGATTGGTATTGGTAGAGTCGCATTCAACCCCGTCTTTTTGCCCTTTGGCTGGTAATCACATCGGCCATAAGGTGGTCTATCACCTCGGTTGGGGAGAAAAGCTTTTTTGTTGAGTGATATTGTGAAGTTCTCTATATACTTGACTGTGTGGTTGTGTGGCTTGGTTGTGTGGTTTGTCATTGGTCTGAAATCCTGAGACTCTGAAATTTATAATCTTGAACCCTCTCTATTGAAGTGATGCCTTGAATAAAGAAGGCTTGATAAAATATTGTTAATTAAGTGCAAAGTGGTGATAATAAATGATAAATTAACAATATATTGGATCGGATGCCACGAGCCAGCATGATATTATTGGATCGGATGCCACGAGCCGGAATGATATTATTGGATCGGATGCCACGAGCCGGCATGATATTATTGGATCGGGTGTCACGTTCCGACACAGTAACATTAAAGAAAAAAATATTGAATTAACTTAATGTACTCAATCTCAAAGAACCCATTTCCCAAATAAGAGTGGTGTTGAGGCACGAGTCCTCGTGTATGTTTGGTATTGTGACTGATTGCGTAATTGCTTCGGTGATGTTATCACTTGTTCATGTTGTTTGTTGCCTGTCACTTGCTAAGTGCTATAGTTGATTTCATGTTATTACTTATTGCATATTAGTTTCTATTCTGAGTCAGCCGATGATATCTACTCAGTACATGTTGCCCTGTACTGAGCCCTACTTGTGTTTTTGTTTGTTTTCCTTTTATGGAGTGCAGCGAGTGTACTAACGACTTTGACTCGTCCTCAGCTCTAGCCAGTCTCCAGCACATCAGGTTCAAGGGTGAGCTATTCATTCAAGCTCGTGTTGGATACTCTCGGTCATGACATGATGTCCTTAGTTTTTGGACACAAATTACTTTATTTATTTATATTGGTGTCTTGATACTCTTAGAGTTAGTAGTTGGAGATTAGATGTCCTTGATGTGATGACTTTCAGGTTTTGGGAATGAAATATAATAGACTTTAGTGGATTTGTGTTTCTTACCTTAATAAGATTGAGCTTTCGCATAATGATTTGTATTTCGTAAGTTTAACAATTAATATATGTTGAGGTTTGGATTCCTTGGTTCGCCCACCTAGGAGGCTAAGTGTGGGTGCCACTCATGACTCATTTTGGATCGTGACACTATCATCCTTGGTGACTTTGATGTGCATCAATTTTTCAGCATCTGTAACTTCATTATTTCTTTCAGCATCATGGTTCAACAAGTAATAAAGGCCTTCTGTCTCTTTACCAAACCCCTTGACCTTCCCAGTTAACAGGTCCTGAAAGACACAAAACTCAGAAAAAAAATCTTACTGAGCAATGTAATTGTCTAGTTAACTGAAAGACTGAGAGCAAATCATACTTGAAATCACAGACTACTAAGACATTAGTTAAGACATCACCGGTGCTCCACTTCTAACTGCCAGTGTGGGATATTAATGTAGTACATCCATTAGGTAATTGTACATGATTCTGAACTCCTTGTTCTAAAGAGACTATATCAAATAGATCATCTAATGAGGCTGTAGTGTGCTTTGTTGCTCCAGAATCTATCACCCAATGTTTAAGCTTAGTGCTATCAGGAAAAGAATAACCCAGACTTGCTTGATAGACCACAGGAACATCAGTGTGTTCTTTGTTCAATAGCCTGAGAATTTGACCATACTATTCCTGAGTAAATGTGGGAGAGGCTGAACCTAGTGAATCATCTTCAACACATTCACATTTTCCATCCTATTACCCTATTCCCAGACCTTGCAGGTGGTGCTCCAAATATCTTCTTGAATTTATAGTCTGGTGGATATCTAACAACTGGATAACATGTCTCCTTAGTATGACCTTTCAACCTGCAAACTTCACAGTGCAGGGTAGTATAATCCCTTTTTTGCTTATATGAGGATTGGTTGTGTCCAATTCTTGCATATAGTGTAGTAGAGGTAGATGCACCTACATCTCCTCCTACATGCTATGGTACCCCGGAGTGGGTAGGAGCGGGTCGAGTCCGTATCGCTGCGGTGCAACAACGCTCCTGAGTAAGGATTTTTGCCAACAAACTGTCCTCTTGAGTAAGGATCATTGCCAACAAACTGTCTATGATGATCTTTACGAGTATATAATGTTGTAGATGGTTCTAAAATACCTCCTAGGTATGAACTAGCAGTCATTCGTTGGCTTTCATCAGAAATAATCATTGAGTAAGCTTTGTTTACAGAGGGTAAGGGAATCACCATAAGGATTTGACTGTGTTCCTGATTATAAGAATCATTTAACCCCATGAGAAATGCAAACAATTTCATGTACTGCAAGTGACTAGCATAGACCATTGGTTTATCACAACCACAAGAAGGAGGTTCTACCAAAGCATCAAACTCATCCCAAAGCAGCCTCAATCGTGTGAAATAAGTAGAAACAAAAGATGTACCTTGTGTGATAATACAGATCTCACGATGTAGCTGGTAACCTCACGATCCATCAACCTTGTTGAATCTCTCCTTCAAATCAACCCATAGAGTAGCAACATCAGTTGCATAGATGATTCCATTCATTAACTCCTTCGAAACAGAGTTCAAAATTCATGATAGTACGAACGCATTACACTTTTCCTATTGTTCATCCAAAGCAGTGCTGTAATCACTCTTCTTACAGTACCAAAAACAAAACCTGCTTTAATTTTGGCTCGGAGAGTTACGAGCATCGATCGACTCCATAACGAGTAGTTCTCCACGCTTATAAGCTGGATAATTGTTAATGAAGATCCTGGAGTGTCAGATTGTAGGAGATAAATGAGATGATTGCGATTCTTCTTAACATCCACAATTGTATCAATTCTCACCATAATTTCCAGTAACAGATAAAAAAAACTTCACACAAATACAGATTGAAGATCATTGACAACTAGAGATGAATCAATTGATGATTCGAGGCTCTGATACCATGACAAAATCTCAATTTTACATCTATGAATGAAGAGATCTGATTTAGGGAAAACAGAGAGAAATGAGAAAGTTGATCTTATTCATTGATCATGCGTTATGAACATGTGCACTGTACATCAATATATATATATATAGCTCAGCTAATTTCCTAAATACCTATACAACCAATCAAAAATGTATACCTGTCAATCCTAACGGATTTAGTTACACTTAACTAACTAATGAAGCTGAAAACTAATTAGTGAAATCAAGTTACGCCTCTGTCCTCACTATCTTCAATAATATTGCATTGAAAAATATGATGATAGTAAATGAGATTTGAGTGTTTGGAGGATTCTTGGAGTAAAATAGCAACCCCAAATCCACTTGAACAAATGGTGAGGTATGTATTATATTTCATTTATTTTAAATTTAGATAGTTTGCTCACTTTATTAATTTATATTTTTTATTTTTGTGCTTAATTTCAACCTTAGCACAAGGTAAAAGAGAAATAAAAAGAGAATAAGAATAATACTGGATAGGACAAAAATGTGACATATGCTAATTTATTAAAGTTTATTTAGGTGAAGACTAAACAACTACAAGTCTATGTGTATAATTTTTTTAAATATATATAAAATAAAAACTTCAACAATACATTCTTAATTTCCATTATATATTATAGCAATGATAATCGTTGAGTAACTTTAATTTATCTTGACCTATAGAAAGAATATTAATTTTGACTCCCAGGACAAAATAGTAAAATACTATCTATTGTTTTATTAAATTCATAGTTATTTTTTCTTCTTATAATTGAACTACTCAACTTAGCTGCGCTTCACGCGAACATAAAAATAACAGTAAAATTTCAATGTATATATATACACGCATGTAAGAATCATATCATCCATTCTTAAATTTGTAAATTTATTTTTTATAACTGGAAAAATCATATCATCCGTTCTTAAATTTGTAAATTTATTTTTATAACTGTAAAATTAGTAAACATCATGCAGGTACGTAACAAAATAATTAAATAAGTAGGAATCTTACTAATTGTGTTGTACTTATGGAAGGGAAATGACTATTATCTATTCATTTATTTATATAAGTGTTTGACTAAATTTTGAAGGAAAAATCCTTTTGATCAGAAAATTTGGCCAGAATGGTATTTTATCTATGTTATTTTATCTTTTTGAACATTTTTATCATTTTAACTTTAATACCTTTTAATTAAAAATGGAAAAAAGATCGGTTTATTTTAAAATAAAAAAGTTATTATAAATTTTTTAAATTTCTGGCCAAATTTTCTGACCATTTAGCATTACCCAAATTTAAATTCCTGTCGAGATATATCTTAGAGGGTGAAACATTTTCTAACAGAAGTGATCCCATATTCAAGGATCAAACGTGAAATCTCTAATTGAGGATGCTTTAGCACAATTATTATTAATGATTATCATCTAATCTAGAATTTATTGAAAATTGTTAAAGCCATGAAATTTTTTACGGAAAAGGGTCAAAAATACCCCTAAACTCAGGGGCGGAGCCACGTAATTGGACACCCTTTGTCGAAGATTTTTACTATAAATACACATAAAATTTTGACTTTATATTGGTACATATAGAATTTGGACCCCCTAAAATAACAAAGTGATGCGCAGTGGAGTTGGCAATAGCCTGTGCAATCCTACTTTTTGTCCCGGTTCGATTCCCCGCAGGGTTGTTTTCTTTTTCTGTAATTATTTTGACTTCTTGAATTCAATTAAGTAATAAACATGCGTAATTTTAACATAAAAGTTCAATAGTTTGGTGGTTAATAGTATCATGAAGGTCTCCAAGACCCAAGTTCGAATCCCTCCTCTACTAACTATTTTTTTTCAATTAAAATTAAAATTTTAATACATTTTCGTTGTAGAATAAGGTTTTCTTGAATTTAATACTTTTTCTTCTGGAATTTTTTCAATTAAAATTGAATTATTTCCTTAAATTTTAATACTTTTCCCTTATGGAATAAGGTTTTCTTTCTCTATAAATAGGACACTCATTTACCCAAATATCACAGCAATATTATTAAGAATAGAATCTCAATAATTCTCTC